GGGGGGGGGGGAGCCCACATTTGCTGAATGACAAAGAACTAACTTCCTTAACGTAAAAAACTCTTCCAAATACGTAATAAAAAAGAACCCAATAGAAAAATAAGCAAGTGATATATACATAATTCACAGAAAAGTAAGTATATATGACTAATAAAAATATCAAAATGTGCTCCGATTTACTCATAAAGAAATGTACATTAAAACAAGGAGATACTGCTTTTCTTGAGATATTGCTTTTTAAATCTATCAAATGAACAAATATTAAAATTCATAATGTTCTGAAGTTGAGACAACATGAACAGGAAACACTGTTGAGTTCTTGGCACAATTTTTTCAAATGGTAATTGATCATATCTAGCAAAAGTTTTAATTGCACCAACAATTCCATTTCTAGGAATTTATCTTACAAATATACTCAGTTTGGGTGAGCAAACTACATGTAAAAAGACATCTACTTCACCAGTACATATGAATCTAAAACCCACTAATAAAAGACTGGTTAAATATTTGTGGTATATTCCTAGACTGGAAAACTATATAGCCATTTAAAAGAATAAAGTGGGTCTTTATGCACTGATATGGGAAGATATCTAAAATACACTGTTAAATGAAAACATCGAGCTACAAATCTCAATTGTGTAAAAAAATTACATATTAATAAAAAAATTTCTAGAAACAATAATAAATAAGTGGTACTGAGGGGGTAAAAGGAGACTTTACTTTTTCAGTGTACACAAATATTTGAAGTATTTTTCAACCAACAGTTTTTTCAACCGCCGGGCATGGCTCGGTGGTTGAGCATCGACCCAGGATCCAAGCAACTGAGGTTCGATTCCTGGTCAGGGCACAAGCCCGGATTGCGGGCACGATCCCCAGTCAGGGGCGTGCAGGAGGCAGCCGATCAATGACTCTCTCATCATTGATGTTTCTCTCTCTCTCTCCCCCTCTCCTCTCTCTGAAATCAATAAAGGTATATATTTTTTAAAAATTTTAATTTATTGATTTTAAGAAGAGAGAGAGAGAGAGAAACATCGATTTGTTTTTGCATTTACTTATGCATTCACTGGTTGATTCTTGTACATGCCCTAACTGGGGATTCAACCAGCAATCTTGGCATATCAGGACAACACTCTAACCAACTGAGCTACCCAGCCAGGACCTAAAAATAATTTTTAAATAAAAAACATAAATCAACAATTATGAATGATAATCACAGTGGGAGAAATCAAATGTAATAAAGCCTGTGACAATAGGGGTTGGGTTGCCAAGAAGGAAGTCTTACTAATATGCCCACAAGTCTCAACTAAGTTCTAGTTTAGAAGAGCAAACAAAAGGGAAGAGAATGACTACAAGTGAGAGTGCTGGGACAGCAGTCACTGTGCTGGAAAGGAACATAAAGTTCCATGAAGGCAGAGTCCAGGTCATATTCTTCCCTGTGATCACACCTAACAGTTACTAGCAAACAATATGCACATTCAGTAAACAATTGTTGAGTGCAAAGGAACTGAGTGAAGGAGAATACCTGGTCATCTATAATACAACAGCAGAGTTTTAAAGACATGCTGCTTCAACCAAAATCACTAAAGTGGAAATTTCTGAGTTTCTCCAAGAGGTGGTTTCTGGACGACTGGTTTTTTCTTTGCTATTTCTTTTTTAATCCTCACATAAGGATATGTTTTTTATTAATTTGAGAGAGAGGGGAAGGGAGAAAGAGAGAGAGAGAGAGACATCGATGTGAAAGAAACATCGATGTGAGAGAGAAAAATTGACCAGTTGCCTGCCATACACACCCTGACCAGAGATGGAACCTGCAACCTAGGTATGTGCCCTGAAGGGGAATCAAACCTGCAACCTCCTAGTTTATGGGACAATGCTCAAACCAACCTAGCCACCCAGCCATGGCTGACCACTGTTTTTTTTCTAAGTGTATCCAGAGACTTGATGGGAACTTGAGAAAGGAAGAACCTGAGGAAAGATCTAGGCAGTCCTGAAAATAGAATGCAGGCTCCAATGACTAGTTGAAACTTACCTCTGCCTTGGAAAGAAATGGAAAGCGAAATAGAGTAGTTAAAAGGGTTCTGAAATTAGAGGGTATAGGTTCAAATCTCACCTCCACCTTTTACTTGGCAAGCATTAGTTTCCCTCTCTGTAAAACAGGATAATAACCAACATCACTTTTTTGTAACTTTCCTTACTGAGGGAGATTCAGAGTTTTACTTATCTCTCCATTTCTTGTACCTAGTATAGCATCTGGCACATAGTAAGCAAGCTCTCAATAAAGATTTGTTAAGCCTGGCCAGCGTGGCTCAGCAGTTGAGCATCGACCTATGATCCAGGAGGTCGAGGTTCGATTCCCCGTCAGGGCACATGCCCAGGTTGCGGGCTCAATCCCCAGCAATGGGCATGCAGGAGGCAGCCAATCAATGATTCTCTCTTATCATTGATGTTTCTATCTCTCCTTCAGCCTTCCTCTCTCTGGAATCAATAAAGATATATTAAAAAAAAAAATTTTGTCGAATGGCATGAATGATTTTTATGATCTGGGAACTTAAGTTCAAGTTCCTCCCTGAATTGGAAGACCTTACTTACTGAAGATCATCCTTCCAGAATCAGCTAAAATTTCTTCTCTATTGCAATCTCCTGGATGTCCTCAGCATTACTCTTCTCTCTTCCTCTCTCTCCCTCTCCTTCTCCCCCACCCACAGTACCGCTAGCACTTTCCACCAACCCACCCCCACAATGCCACTAGCACTTTCACCCTTTGAAAGATTGCTCATTAGCATAAGTGAAGTGGTCCAGGGTCTGGAGTCAGACTGCTTGGATTTGAAGCCTGGCTCTGCTTACCAATGACCTGTCTTTATTTCAGTTTCTTCACATGCAAAATGGAAATATTAATATTACCTAACCTATATGGTTACTGTGAAGATGAAATGAGATAACTTGGGCTCCTGGAACATAAGAAGCACTAGAAAATGTTAGCTATTCTTCTTCCTCTTTTAACATTTCTGACTCCTTCTCCAGACTGTAATAGAAGAAACTTTTTTAAGAGTACAGATCTCATATCATCTGTTTCTATATATATTTCCTGAAACACAATGCTTTGCATATAAGATGCTAAACAAGCATTTCTTGAATGGGAAAAAAACACAATAATCATCAAGTTAGCTTCATAGTGTAAACTCATTTTATAAGAAAGAACATTTAGAGGCAGGTACAGGCTGGAAAGTAAGAGGCATTTATTTTGTTAAGTAAATTATTTATATACAAGTTAGGCAATAGGATTCTATTAGCAAAACAATGGCGACATTCTAAAGTAATGGGTCTCCTAGAAGCTGAAAGGACCTGGTTTCCCTGTGATACATCCCTGCTGCCCTTTCCCCCAGACTCACAGTCACTATGACCACATCACCCACAGAAGTATCCCAGACAGCACAGCACATACAGAGAGGCACTGGCTTCATGTGACAGTTTCCTGTCTGCCTTCTTCCACTCCCCCCACTCACATTACCACATTACAGTGGTGTCGCACAACTCTACTTCTGTGTGAAGCTTTTCTGCCTGACCTGCTCAAGCTCTTTTCCTTTCTACCACCACCACATCCAAAAAGGTGTCCTAGAGCTGGCAAGCTGAGGCAGGCATTAGCTTTATATTGGAAAAGGAGCTTGAGCAGACTTAATCATTCCAGTTGCTATAAACAGAATATACTTTTAAAGGGAATTACTCATCCTTAACAGGGAAGTGATATGTGCCTACAAAAGCATTTAATTTAACAATAAGTTTTCACTAAAATTTTTATTGCTAATTATATCAAACTCTAAGTTGTGAGTAAAATCTCAAATCTTTTTTGATATTAGACCTAAAAAAATTACATCCTGAATGATTCTTATTCCCCACTGCCTCCACCCCAAATCTTGTCAGCTAGAATTACTTAGCTCAAGGAGCACTTTCTTAATGCATGTGCTTGAGAGGGAATGATTATTCAACTTTGTTATTTTTAGTTTCATATTACACACACATTCATATTGAGAAGTAGGCATAGTTGCTTTTGTTTTTTAGATCAGTGCTTCATAAATGTTAATGTGGAAACGAATCACCTAGGATCATGTAAATTGCAGTCTGAACTCCTAACAAGCTCCCAGGTGATGCTGACGTTTGGTCCATGGACCACCCATTGAGTAGCAAGGCTCAGTCCATACAGAAGACAGCGATCTCTAAAGTCAGTAAGACTGTAACAGGTAACTCCCAACTCTGATGCCATTAGTAAGTTCGACTTTGACCAGAGACTTAATTTGCCTCAGTCTTTCCTAAAGCATGATTTACCATTTCCCATAAAATGTCATTACCATGCTTTCCCACACCTTCGCCCTTTCTCAGGTTGTTCCCACCGGCTAGAATGCCCTTCACCCCCCATTTCCACATAGAATCTATCCATCTTTAAAGCTGGGTTCAAATACTTCCT